TTTACAATTAAATATTACATAATTCATAATATTTAATTTTATAAAAAATAAATATAATATTAAAATATTACAGTACATAAAAAAATTATTGTGTTTATTTAATCAAATTAATGATTAAAACAAAATTTAGAAAATAAGAATAATATTACAAACCTAAAATATAATTACATAATTCAAAAAATTAAAAATTACCTCAATAGAGTTTTTTGTTTTTTGAATAGCAAACAATAATATTTATTAATAAATGGAGTATAAAGAAAACCTCAAACCCATAAACATTATAACAACACCACGTTCGTGCCCCTGATTCGGATGCTTACCATATGGTGTCGATACCAAAATTATGTATCGACACTATACCCGAATCGGATTTCTGTTCTCTTTTACAATTTCTTCATAAATCACTGTTTTGATCCTCTAAAACCTCTCATTTGTCAAACCCACTCAATAGAGTTAATTTACAAAACACATTTCCTAAAAAAATTTAAAAAAAAAAACATAAATTAAGTTATTATTTATATATAATTATTTCAACCAAATAATAATAATCAAAATAGAAATGAAGTTAAATGGTGGTTTACATAAATAAAATTGATTTAACCATACCATTGTCTCTCCCAACCATGTTTCTTGGAAAACAAAATTAAAAAAAAGTTAGAATTGCAAATTAAATTGATTAATAATACAAATTAGTGTTTAATCACATAAAGAGAAGAATGGAAGAGAAAAAAAGAGGAAATTGAGAAGATGCAAACCTAAAATTATATGAATATAATGTAATTATAAACATAATACATCTAATCTAGTAGCATCTAAATAATGGAACAGAAGAGGAGGAATAGAGAAGGGAGGAGAAGAAAAACGAAGAAGAAGGACAGAAAGAAAGAAAGAAGAACTAAGCAAGTTAGAGTGTTGTGGTAATATATAGAGTATTTTACCAATGTGGTTCTTATCGGAGTTTATTTTACCAACAAAATGCACATCGTAATGTTGGTTGCACGCGGGAAACCAAAATGTGCAAAAATTTTCCAATCCCGCCCAATTTACTAGCATGAAAATTATGTAAAAAATTCAACAAACCAAAATTCATATTTAATTTAA